GTGACACGGCGGGATTTTATACGTTCCCATAGCAATGTAGAGTGACCGAATCGAAAGGGAACGCTCTCGGTTACTCACGTAACCTCGGTTCCCTAAGATGAGGTAAAGAGACATTGCTCTTATTGCCTTGTCACCTAGCTCAGGATCTTAGAATGCCAAGTTGCTTTAGTCAAGATTCTGAATGGATGACGTACAAGCGCTGCTTTATATAGAATGGGAGCCCCTCATATTTCACGCGTTTCACTGGCGTGATTCAATAAGTCTTCAGTAGTATTTGGAGGAAAGGGTAATTCCCAGAGCAATGTCTCGTTCCCTCATCTCAGGGAACCGAGGTTACGTGCTCTGTGGGGATTCTCCAAGATGCCTGTGTAAATTTGTATTGTCTGTTTCTCAAGAGATCAAAGTATCTGAGTTTCTTTTATCCTTACATGATTATTATAGTCACAAAAGATTTTATTTTAGATAAAACCTGAACTTTTTGAACTTTTTATTAATCAAAGAATAAAAAAAGAAAAGAAAATAGAAGCAGCACAACTGTTTTCAACATTGATAAGAAATATTTCTGGAGCTGCAAATAAGCATATAAGAATTATTTCTAAAAGATCACGAGATACTCGAATAATGGATTCTGAAAATGCTGATATGTCATGACAGCAATACATTTTTAAAATCTTATTATTAAAGTCGTAAACCATTATTTTGAATTATAATATTATTTCAGAATACAGTTACAGTTGTTACTGTATTTTTGATCCAATAAATACGGCCTTTGTGAGTGTACTTTTGAAACTATGACTATGAAACAGTCATTTTATATTGTACTGTAATTTTTCATTTCAATTTAATCATTACAGTGTTTCTTGGGATTATAGTTCACTCCCTCATAAATAACATTAAGTTTATTTGCCTTTTGCACTGATTTTAAAGTACTTTATTAAAATTTTTTGTAAATTCCTATGAAGAAAAGAAATGGGAATAAAAAGGTGGGCAGTTCCCATTTTATCCTATGTCTAAGTTCGGCTATATTGTGAATAAAATCACAGCTAAAGGCCCGTTAGAAGCCTTACAGTTCAGTCATTACCACCGACTAAAACTTGTCTAAAAACAAAAACCTGTGCATGTAAACGTACATTGTATTGAACAATCAGCACCCAGGACTGTAACTATGTGTATTACAAAACGTAGTAGAAGGAAAAAAAACAAGTGAGGAGAGAAACCAAAAAAAAAAAGGAAAACTGATCTGTATTCATCCCTCAAACCCACTCTCATCCCCTCACTGACGCTCTCCTCACATCCAGTTCACTTCTTCACTGCCATCAATGCTCTTTCAACACACACACACACAGAGTTATGTAATCAGTGTAATCCCTCTTCTGCTTCATCTGAACATTCATGATCTACAAATCACTGTGATGATCTTCCTCAACTGCTGTCTCTCTTTCATCAATCACTCTACATCTCTACCGTTCAATCTACACTCTCTCTTTTCTTGTCCAGGAAGATTCTACTGCGAATGACAAATTCATTTCAACTCTTTTCTCTTCCATCTTTACCCCCCTGTGTTTTAGTGCACATTTTACCGTAGCATAAAATCTCAGGCGTGATGTATTCCTTCTATCTAATGATCTCGTTTGGAATCTGATCTTTGGCTCGCATTCCTCTTCCCACCGTGTCTCTCTGCGGTATGTTCCTGGTCAGCAAAATGTCAGGCAGATCCTGCAGTCCCCCAGAGAGAGCCAAGCTGTTAATGAGGAGTGTGAGCCAGAGACACACAGCACCAGCCCACCATCTGATCTGGGTTCAGTTCATCTGAAATACAGAGAGGAGAGAAGAACAGAAAAAGAGAAGAGACTGGGAGATACTGTAGTAAGAGAGGAAACAGCATGTCTGGACAAGAAATGATCGAGAAACAAAGAACACAGAAAAGAACATGGACATTAGGAGGAGCTTGTAGATAAAGCCAATATAAATGGAAAACAAGATACTTGATTTAGGTCAATAACATCAGTGGCACGAAGGCTAACTGGAATAAAACGCATTGGAAATCTCATTAAACTGCAACTGTCTGACTCACAAATCAGTACTAATGCACAGTGGTAGACTGAAAAAATTCTTTACACATACAGCAAAATGTGTGACAAAATAACATAGTTCTTCATAGTGATTCAAATTTAGATTCAATATTTATCTTTTTTTCCTTAAAAAGAGTTCACTCAAATGAAAATTTGCTGAAAATGTACTCACCCTCAGGTCATCCAAGATGTAGATGAGTTTGTTTCTTTATCTGAACAGATTTGGAGAAATTATATCACTTGCTCAGTGCAGTGAATGGGTGCCGTCAGAATGAGAGTTGAGAGTAACAAACATTACTGCAATAATTAGCAAGGGAAAACACATTTTGTGGGACATTGGAGCAGCAGATGCACCCAAACACATGAATAACTCTGAAGCTCTTAGTAATTGAAAATAATTCCTGTGTATAACCAACTAGAAATTCTTCAGTTTTCAATTTTGTCTCAGTACTCAAAAATCGGTTAATGGATATTCAAACTCAAATTTTGGATTTGCTGATAGCACAGTAGACTCATGTGTTTTTTTAAATTTTATTTATCTAAACAGAGCAATTATTGCACAGAGTTGACAAAAATAATTAAAAATTGAATAAAATATCATCATAAAGTCATTAAAGGTTTTTACTGCATTTAAACATTGCAGGAACAAGGATGGAACATTCTGATAAAATCTTGCAGCATTTAATCTCAGCTGAAATCAAAAGCACTGTTTGCACAGGCAATTGTTTCTCAGGATGATGACTGTGACATATTTGCATACCTCCTTTGAGATCGAACTTTGAATTTGGCAGCAGGTTAGTTTTATGTATCAAAAGTGTCAAAACAGCAACCTTTTAAATTAGCTGTGGCCAAAAAAAGATTCAAATATATTTTTAAAATGACATTTGCATCTGCATCGGTTTCAAAGTGTTCACTACAGCACTTGCACCATAGCTGGATTAATTATGGGAGCATTGCAATCAGTGGCCTGACTGGACTGGACAGAATGACACTAACTCAAACAATGGCTCAAGTTTGGAGGCGAAACTACCAAGTTGGCCAAACAATAGATGAAATTACGTTTTCATCCGCTATTTATGGGATTTCATTCAATAACACTCATGGCACAGAAATTGCTCCCATAATTAAATTACAAACAAGCAGCTGTAATTTCTGTTACACAAGCATGTAAACGGTACCATCCAAATAGGGCTAAAGACTATTAGAACAGGTTTAAGGTTGTAAAGAGTTGCAAATTATGACAGTGAATGACAAGTTTCAGCATTTATGAAATAGGGCTGTGAAGTGGTACCAAAAAAAAAAAAAAAAACTAACTAAAAAGTACTAACTGTATTATTGCATGACTACAAAAACCTTCAGAAATCAAGTTCTGAAAATGTAAATAACATTCAAGTATTCACACTCTACACATGCTGGTTACGTAAAAAGGGGGAAAGGACAGGGCACAAGATTCCTGGGGTGACAATGAAAGGATAAGAAAAAAAAAGAGGAACAATGAAAGAGAAAGAGGAATCTGAAACAGGTGGTAGAGCAGCCCACTGAGAGAGACACTGCTGGACAGGAAACAGAATGAAAGAGACAGACAGAGAGACAGAGAGAGAGAGAGAGGATGCATTTTTAAAATGACACATGAAATGGAGTGCAACGACACACATTCTGTCCTGAACAGCCTCACACAGCAAACACACTCCTACGACAACCTGCCAGACAAATACAACCGAATATTCAGAACCTCAAAGAGACCGAAACGCAGACTGACACTTCTGTATGTTCACTCACAAATGCATTGAAATGGATGTCTTTCAATACTACACATAACTGTAAATTGCTGCTTACACGCCATTTTACCTCTGTAATGTGTAACACACACTACTGTTCAAAGGTTTGAGGTTTCTTTTTTTTTTTTAAGAAATTTAGATTTTCATTCTTCAAGGACACATTTAAGACATTTATATTATGTTACACAAGATTTCATATGTAAAATAATCACTTCTTTTAAACTTTCTATTCATCAGAATCCTGAACGATACATATTGCAGTTTCCACAAAAATATTTAGCACGACTGTTTTCAACATTGATAAAAAAAAAAAAAAGTTTGTTTTTAGAATGATTTGTTACTGAAGGATCATGAAGACTGTTGTAATGACTGTTGAAAATTCAGCTTTGACATCACAGGAATAAATTATATTAAATTAGGAAACAGTTATTTTTAAATTGTAATATTTCACGATATTAGCGTTTAATATTTTGCACAATATCTTTAATCAAATGAATGCAACTTTAGTGAACTTATGAAATCTTACCGCCCTCAAACTTTTTAACAGTAGTGTATTTCCAAATGAAACAGGATATTCATCATCAAGAGCAGGACTGTAAAGTGAGCAATACAAACTTGAATGAATGAATAAATAAATAAATGAATAGCTATTTGGCTATTAGCAAACGTTATTCAATAGCACACATGTGATGTCAATAGAAAAGGAAAGCTGTCTCCAATGAAGAGCAAGTTCATGGATTAAAAAGTTGTTGTTGTTTTTTTTGGAATAATGTACACCATGTAAACTTTACTGTGAAACAAAAATACGATTAATTTCTGAATGAAAAATAACATTTAGTTAAAAAAAAGGGGGTAGGACTGCACTTTTATCCACTTGGAACTGATTGGCCATCAAAGTGGGTGTAGCATACCAGAATTCATTCATCCATTGTATATTTTTAAAGAATGGCAATGGATGATTGATAGGGAGGAATTTGAAAATAAGATGGATTCAAAATTAAATAAGTTAGTAGATAGAGACAAGTTCATACATTTTGATGAAAGATTACAAAGGCAAAAGTTTTCTTTGGAATAACGTGCTGGGTTGCACACAATAAGACCATCATGTTAAAAGAAAGCAAATAGCACAGGAAGAGGAAAAAAATATAACATTTTCTTAATTAGATCCTACAGTCAGTTGCAATAAACTCCATAGGTTCAATAAAAATGTTTTAAAAACGTAATCAAACTCCTTAAATTCTGTGTTTATGGCTTAAAATTGAAGCCTTTAAAAAATAAGACGGGAAAAGAGTGATCTGGAGAAGTGCACAAGAATCTGTCTCCTTTTTTCCCCCTCCAATTTCACACACAAACACGTCTCAAGTCAAATAGGGCTGCATAGTTAGGACAGATCCGTGAGTATAAATGTCTCACAGTGGCTATTGTGTGGGCAGGAAGTGGCATCAGGAGCATTTCCAAACGCACACGGCCAGACTTCCCCCAAAGAACATGTAGAGCAGGTTCTTGACTTCATGGCTCACCTCGAACCCAAACCCCTCACCGATCACCACATGCCACGAACTGCCAAACTTCTTATCCATGGACTCCTTGATCATCTTGGCAGCACTCTGAAAATAGAGTGAACCAGCGAGAAAGAGAGCGAGATGAAAGCATGTAGGCTACTGGAGCAGTCCAGATGGCCAGACTGTGAGCGTGTGAAGCGTCCTGACTCAGTACTAGACGGAAACACAGACCCCAACCCTACCTGTGTGTCCTGGGGAGCACATTTATCTGAAAGCCTGTGCTTCATAACAAAAGCACACACTCACACACAAACACACACTCAAACCTGACTGACCTCATTGTTGGAGGCAAATTTCTCACAGGCTGTGACGCACAGCTCCATAGTCTCCACACGCATCTCCTCTGGCATATCTGTGTGCTGCAGATGAAACCAACACCACATATTCTAGTCAAGCTCTTACAGGTGTAACAGGATTATTTTTATAAAGAAAGAAATTATAAAGAAAAACTGCCACTGAAATATCTGGAGTCAGTAAGACTTCTACTTGTTTATTCATCATAGATGCGATCATTTGAACAACAGTAAAAAAGACTTCTACATGGTTACAAAAAAATCTATTATCAAATAAAAATATCAAATCAATACTGATTTACTAAAATGAGGGAACTAAATAGGTTGTGGGAACTAATTCTTAATGCGTGGCCACAATTGAGCTAAAACTAGGGAATGAATTAATAAAACAACCGAACAAATTAAACAAATGATGGATGAATATATAGTTTTGTTTGCAATTTATGTGCAAGCTTCGGATTGTTTTTTTAACTTTTAAGATTATGAATCTTAAATAAAAAAGATCACAGATTCCACAAATATATATATATTTTAACAAAGATAATAATAAGAAACGTTTCTTGAGCAGCAAATCAGCATATCAGAATGATTTCTGAAGGATCATGTGACACTGAAGACTGGAGTAATGATGCTGAAAATGAAGCTTTATCATCACAGGAATAAATTACATTTTTAAAAACATTCAAATAGAAAACAATTATTTTAAACTGTGAAAATATTTTTGATCAAACAAATGCAGCCTTGGTTAGCATAAGAGACCTGAACTTTTGAACGGTTATGTAGCCTATAGAAAAGTTACTATAAATTATTATTAATTACAATAATGTAAAGAAAGATATATTAAACACTTTAAAATAAATACACAAACTATGTTGCGTTGACCAAGGCAGTGCAAAATATTAAGACCATCCATGCTAAATAAAGAAGCAGTGCAAATAGTATGCTTGAGAAAAAAAGGGGGTAAATAGATGTTTAAAATCTCATGTTTTGAAAAGGATGGAAAAGGGAGCAGTTGGAGTGATCTAATACAAACAAACACAGACACATCCATAACTGGTTATTTCTATCTAGGTCACAGCAGCAGTCGAGCTGCACCCACCCTGATGAGCGGAAAGCTTTGCAGTCTTTTGTAATCGGCATCCTCTTTTTTCCCATTACCGGTTTCTGCCATCCTTTTCTTTACTAAAGAGAGACAGAAGGATTAGTCCTGTCTGATGAAACGGAAAATCAGAACATTAGGTCAAAATTCTGACCCATTTTTAGCATTGGCAAGGAGAATGAAAAACACATTTGTTTGTCCATGAACAAAATTAAATGTGGGTTACTGTCCTCATCAAATATGTAAATGTCTCAAAATGAACATACAGGAAAACGACTAGACTTGTCATAAATTTACAGATAAAACATCTGGGTGATTCTTGAAAATCGGGACCCCAATAAGGAGTAAATAAGAAATTTTAAAGCTTTAAAGCCGTAGTGGAAAGGGGAAGAGTTTGATAACTATATAAAATGATTTCTGAAGGATCACGTGACACTGAAGACTAGAGTAATGACTGCTAAAATTTCATCTTTGCCATCACAGGAATAAATTATGTTTTTAAATATACTTATATACTAAAGAGTTATCTTAAATTGTAATAATATTTTACAATATCACTGTATTTTTGATTAAATAAATGCAGACTCGGGGAGCATACGAGACTTCTTTCCAAAACATTTTTATTGAACTTTTATTTAACTTAACTTAATCAAAACGAAAACACAATTTTTCTCATTTCTAACTGTAAACATCTTAGCATTGCATTTACAATATTTGTATAAGATGTATATTTGTGTAAAATTTGTAAATCTTAATGTTAGAGCCCATGTCATGTACATTGTCAATTACTGTAAAAGCATTTCACAACATTCAACTAAAATTCAATTAAAAGCATTCAGATTTATACAAAATAAACACTCTGTTGTTAAAAATTAATTGTGCAAAGGGCAACAGAACCATAACCGAACCAGAATTCTACACACTTAAAAGATTCCCTACCAAAACAAATAAAAATTGTGGAAAAATACATATGTTTTCCGTCTTTAGCGCGTCATTATATAAAATAAATTGATAAACTGATAAATTAGTATGAAGATAAACAAATGTATCGAGTACGTGTTTGTTTTTAGCATCTCTGGGCTAATGTTAGCTTGCTAGCTCGACTCCATCACCCTTCGACTTAAAACGCTACGACTGATAAACAGCTGAAAGAAATGGAGAAATGTAAACATGTAAATCATTTAAAGCTCGGTAATATTTAATTTTTAACAGCACAGCTCAATTACATACCACTCTGTAGCGCTATACACAGACACGTTCCTCTACTAGTGTTGTCATGGAGACACACCAGCCTTGGCAACCTCCGGCCCACGTGACCTGTTTATTTCCGCCTCCGTCCACATCTTTCTTTCTTTCTTTCTTTTTCCTTTGATACAATGACATGATTTTGGACATATCATGCTTCTTTCTTTCTTCTTCTTTTTTTTGTGGAAAATGCCCAGAAGTATTTTCATGATACTTCTGGGCATTTCCAAGAATAGCCTACTTTACTTTTTTGTAAGTGATGGTGCATGTATATCAGTAACAGTATGAAAAAAAGCCTGAAAGTGTGTTTTTGTGTTAAAATAAGGTCAGTTGGTGCACCACACAAATCTGCCAGTAAACCTTTGTTTTTAGATTATAATGGCATTAAAGCCTTTCGTTTCACTCCTGAGTGGTCGGAGAAAGAGGGCAGAAAGGTAATCCCAGTGGGAATTATGACATTTTGGAGATTAAGGAAACTACTAGGCAATGTGGGCCACCCACCTCATGTGTGCTAGTGTGTGTCTCATCCTGGGACAAAGCATCTAAAAAGCTCATTGCATATTTAATGTGATCTAGAACAAAATTAATTCAACCAAAGTTCTTATCGCGATTGTTTAAAATGGCTCACGCGTCTTTGATTTTTGATTTTTTTATTTTTTTTGGTCCACGTGCAGATGTTATTGAGCGGGCTGCCATCAGCGCCCACACCGCCCTAGCGATGGGCGTATCGATACTCAAAACAAAAAATATCGATACTAATGTGCATTTTATTTACCAGTGGTTTTGTTTATTTAACAATAATAATAATAATAATAATGCGTACAATATGCATTGAATTGGACAAATAACCTTAGTTAGCGAGTAATTGTGTAGGATAGAACTATTTTCCTGCTCATCTGGATACACGCAAATGTTGCAAGACAGAACCAATCAATCACAGAGAGCATTCACTCACTGCTGACAGTGCATTCAAACAGGGCTGCGTTTCCCAAAAGTATCATAAGAAAGCATTAAAGCTTTTGGGAATGGCAGCCCTGAACAATGCTTATCGGAGGACAGAAAAAAAAACATAAATGTTTGAGTTATTTCACAATAAACAAATTGAAATTGTAGCCTACATAGTTTGTGCAATTACAATTATTTAAATTGAACGTTGAAAGATAATATTGATCATGTAAATTTGGGATTAAACGGGCTAAAATGCGTTTTCAACATAAAGTTAAGTGGTTTTCATTACCCATTTTACTCTTAGTAATTTAATAATTTAATACATTTCATAATTTAAAAGTTTAGTGCAGAAGTATCGAATCGGTATCGATATCGACGATACTGCCTTGAAAAATATCGGTATCGTATCGAAAACAAAATAAGGGGTATCGCCCATCCCTACCGCCAACACAGATAACAGTATTTCATAATAGAGACTAGAGGTTAAAAGACCTCCTACACATCTTTCCCAAGCATCATTCACTTCTCCACAGGGGATGTTGGTTTGTCTGTTGTTTGTGAGTTTTTGGTGCTTTTTTCTGCACCTTCAAATACTTTGTTGGCACTTTTAAAGCTGTATAAACCTCAAAGTAGCAAACAGAGTTGGAGTTTCTCCGCTAACATATTAGGATGATACTCAACTGCATGAACATGCCTTACTTTGCTTTCTTATTTGAATTTTCAGATAAGGAAAAGGCATTTTAAATGATCTTCTAAATACGTTAAAGGGATAGTTTGACCAAAAATGAAAATTCCATCATATACTCACCCTGTCCTTCTTCTGTTCAACATAAAAATATACTTTGAAGAATATGGGTAACCAAACAGTTGATAGACTCCACTGACTTCCATAGAATGGAAGAATAATTACTATGGAAGTCAATGGGGACCATCAACTCTGTGGTTACACACATTATTCAAAATGTATTATGCAAAAGAACGAAATGTAAACTGGTTTGGAACAACTTGGGGGAAGTAAATAAAAATTTTTTTGTGAACTATCCCATTGCCTAATGACAGTTTCTTTACCTAATTTTGATTTAGCTTATCCTGCATTAGAAGAACAAAGGTGGAACAATTCAGAGAGAAGACGAAAAAGGACAAGAAAAAAAAAAGCTTGGGTTCTACATTAGCAGAACTTTTGGGGAACCTCTAGACCTCCTTTCAAAAAAAAAAAAACACAAAAAAAAAACACATCCAGACTTATTGGTCCATGCATCTCGGGTACAGAGATGGATTTAGTTAAAGCATGCTGAGATTGTTTTTAGACAGCAAAATTAAAAAGCAGACAGAGACAGAAGCACACATACTCAGAGAGCTGGGTCAGGTGAAATTGTTGGCTGGGGCACAGATGATGAAAGATCTACTACTCTCGGTCTAATCCACTCATACAATGGATAGAACAAACCGAAAAAGACAGAGAGAATTAGAAATGGCTAAATATCACAAACAGTGATACTAAATTAGGACATACTCATAGAAAAACATTATTTTTGGTCCAAGAGCAAATGTGCGGTTTTTCAGCAACTAAACATTTACATGCTCGTTTTAGCATGAGCAAGCTGTTATAATCATACAAAAAAAAAAAAAAATCTCCAGAATGAAATCACATCTGAAATAGTTATTTGAACAAATACATGCACAAAATCTGGTTCTTGCCTGAAATCTGTTACCTATACACACACAATTACATTCAGATGATGTGTACAAGGATGAATGGAGCTAATAAACAGAAATAGTGCACAGCCTCTTGAGAAACATTTTACATTCTCTCACATCTTGGATTTTTACATCTCCTGCTTCAGTAAAACACAAATGAAACAAAAACAACAGAGAGAGAAATGAACGAGAGCTCTGGTGTTCGGTGTGCTATATATTTTAATTCTCATTTTCATCTTAGATTTGAACACATTTGATCTCCATTTCAACACAGACAAAGACAGAATGCAAGAAATGAACATTACAGGATAGAAGAAGATATAAAAAAATTTAAATTAGTAAATCCTCAGTGTAGAAAAATGTTCAAGCAAAATGAGAGAACTTTATATCCAACTTCCAAGTTATTTCTTCATTCAAAAACAAATATATTCCAGAAAAGGTAACAATCATTTGTAAACCACTCTTTCTGAATACAATTTAAAGCTTGTTCATGTACATTAAGAGAATTGAACATCACAAAATGACCACTGAATGCAAACAAACAGGCATTGCACTAACAACAGCAAATACACTATACATCTGAAAGAAGATATATTTAGTGCTGAAACACTTTCAAAAACACAATTCCAAGCCATTATGATGATCTTGTGCCGTTCAATGTGGCCATGGAATCTCAAACCACATGCTTATAAAACAACTGTTTACACCTAAATAAAACCACATCCATAATAATCTCAGTTCTGTCCATCAGTGTGTGTATATATATATATATATATATATATATATATTAATTATGATTGCGCATTTGGAACAACATTCTTGTGTATGACAAGGCCACAAAGTAGGCATTTTCCAGCCTGCTGCATTTTACACATAAATAATAAATTGAGTATAATCCACATAAAGCATATCATATGTGCGGCGTAATATACATAAGCTCTGAGATGCCTATTCAGTCACAAAGTTATGAAGAGAGATAGATAGACTGTGGAATGTACATTATAATGGTGAGTATTATACATTCATCATATGGAATGTTTGCTGCTTTTTTTTACAAATATTATTTTGTTGAGTAGATTTTTGTATAAATCTATATAGGCTATACATGCTAATTTCTCAGCATGAGAAGATATTCGTTTGTATGTAGAGATTTGCAGATTACGTTTAACACTGAAAACAGGTCTCAGAAAGCATGTTATTGTAGATGCCACATTGTAAAGGGTTTCAAAACCATGGCTTTAAAGGTTAATAGTTATTCTATGAAATATTGCTGAAGTATTCATCTGGCCAAATGCCTTCTTCAACGGCTCCCTTTTCGGTCTGTTCATTCTAATTCGATGTGATTCTGATGGTGTTAAAGGGATTTTAATGGAGAAGAATTCAACCAGGACTGCTCTGAACAATAGGATTCAATCCGCTGGAGTGATCACCATAGAAACAGTGTGATTCAAAAACATCTAAAAAAAAAAACCTGGAACAGATCAAACATACAAAAAAGCCTAGTATAAAAAACGTCAGACTAAAAGCAAACAAAGAAGAATTCAACCAGGACTAGTCTGAACAATAGGATTCAATCTGCTGGAGTGATCACCATAGAAACAGTGTGATTCAAAAACATTAAAAAAAAAAAAAAAAACATGAAGAGATCAAACATAAAAAATAAAATAAAATAAAAACCTAGTAAAAAAAACGGCAGACTAAAAGCAAACAACTTCCCATGATTCAAAAACATTAAAAAAAAAAAAAAAACATGAAGAGATCAAACATAAAAAATAAAATAAAATAAAAACCTAGTAAAAAAAACGGCAGACTAAAAGCAAACAACTTCCCAGCTGTGTGAGTGTGTTTTTTCAAAACTAATTTCAATCAAATACACAACAAATCTGAATGAGTATGCAAATATTTGCTTTGAACTGTGGGAAAAAAAATAATCCTTTTATCAAGCACTGAGCCTGAATATCCCACATCAAATGTTTACACTGATGTTTGACACTCAGGTGTTCAACAAGGTATAACTAGTAAATAAGATGTAAATAATGTAAACAGAGAGATACATTCCCACGCAAAACTCACCCCTATGATGCAAAAGTGTCGTGGTTTGTTGTCAGGGCATTGCTATGAGATTGCTAAGCTGTTCTGAATGTCTTTAGTATATTGCTAAGGTGGTTTGGACATTGCTAGTTGGAAAGGAGCCTGTGATACTGGATATTATATTCTGATCCCTAGATGTGGCTTGTCTAAGTAAAGGTGTGGTCACTTTAATGTCAGTAAAATTTTGGCAAACTTTCACTGGCAAAAAAGATCCATTGTAAATAGCATGAAGACCACCTCACACAGAAGTCACTTTCATCCACAAGACCAATTTGAGCCCGTTGCGAAATCTGCAAATCTTGCGGAAAAAAAAAAAGT